CAGATGTCCTAATGAAACTTAATTTTCAGCCTGGAGTAAATGCAATCAAGATCATCTGTTTTACTTGAGAGCAGAACTAACAGAGCAACTGCAAGGACTCAAATCCAACCAGCGTTAGTGACCTGAAGAGTAATGATGCTGTTTCCACCACAGCTCAAGCTCAAATAAAATCTACCAGATTTAAGGAATAATGCAAAAAGCCTTTAGACCTTGACACAGTGCTGAGCAGTGAGATATCAGACTAATCTGCAGGCCCTGATTTTGGGAAACAGTATCTCCTTCACTGGCTGTGCCTGGAGACCAACACATTCATGCTCTTACCCCTTGTTGATTTTTTTTAGTTTACTCTTTCTTCCATTCCACATGTTGCAAGCATAAAATTGGAGAGAAAGGAAAAGAAAGTATTAAACCACTTCAAGAGTCAAACAAAACCACTACAGGCTCTACTACAACACCCCAGAAATGTGGGCCTTGTCTCCCCAATATTTCAAATGCACCCACACGAGAACGTTTCCATCCATTGCGCCTGTAAGAAAATTTCTTCCAAGCTCACCCTGTTCCCCTTGCAAAAGGATTTGACAACATGACTCTACACAATTTTGCTGCAGGCTGTGCTGTATGCCCAGGAAATGAATCAGATGAGCAGTTTGCCTTTTCTCTCTCTTCACAGTTGTTTTTCCATCAGTGTCATTAAGAGCGCTCAACGAAAACACCGCGGAAGTCGAAACACCCAAGTGTGGTGGAGTGGAAAGACATGCTCCTTCCCATATGTGAGGGGCAAGACCTTTCCAGCTCATCGTATCTTCACACTCCTTTGAGTTAGAGGTCCTGCCTCTTGCTGGTAAGGACAGATGATGCATAATCCCTCTGCAACCTATTACCCACTCGGTTCCCTTCCTGCCCTCGCTCCATTCCCCCCCAGCGCGCTCCGTGGTGCCACAAATACTCAGGACAAATGAATCTGCAGAGGCCCAGGGCTTCAACCTATTTACAGCATGCTAATTAACTTCTTGTAATTACAGTGGTGGGTAGTCCATCACAGAGAGGGAACTGGCAGTATCTCTAGGATGTAAAAGGAACACTGAGATAGTCTTTTTCATCAGCGAGTTTAGGGAAGAGTTCTGCTTAACTGATGAGGAATGTATGGGTTGAAAGGGAAGGCAAGGGGGGATGGTTTTATACTGAAAGGGTAGGTCAGACAGCAGGAAGAAATTCTTCCCCATGAGGGTAGGAAGGCACTAGAACAGGTTGCCCAGGGAGGTTGTGGCTGCCCCATCCCTGGAGGTGTTCAAGGCCAGGTTGGATGAGGCTTGTGCAGCCTGGTCTGGTGGGAGGTGTCCCTGCCCATGGCAGGGGGGTTGGAACCTGATGGTCTTTAAGGTCCCTTCCAACCTTCACCATTCTGTGATTCTATGCTCAGCATTTCTCAACAGTGATATTTAAAAGATGTGAAAGCATTGAAAGCAAAGGTGTGGTGTGTTTGAGTACAGCAGGGAAGGCACCTGGGTTTGCACGGAATGAGAACAAGGCACCAGAGAAGGGTCTGAACCCACCATCAAACTCAAGTCCACCAAGAGCCATATGGCACAAACATCAGCTCACTCTGAGGTGCAGCTTTCAGATGAGCTTTGTGGGAGGTGCCAAAAAGTGAGCAGGGCACAGATACAAGCACACACCTATTTCCTAGGTGGATGGGGGATCTGGAGGGTTCTGCTTCACTAGGTTGTTCTGGGAGGCATCTGGCTGCTTCTGTGCATCCCATCCGGGCATGAGATGACAGCAGATGAGGGTAAGACAAAAGCTCATCCAGGACACTGCACAGGAAAGCCACAATGTCACAACAGCAGACAGGCTTGTTGGCAGCCAGAACTCAGGTTATGGAACAGGTTCATGAGAGTAGAGTCACAGCCTCCTTGTGAGGGACAGTGTGGAGCGGCAAGGGCAAGTCAGGAAAATACAGACTCACAGAATCATGGGAGTTGGAAGGGACCTCTGGAGATCATCCAGTCCAACCCCCCTGATAAAGCAGGATCCCCTGGAGCACATCACCCAGGGCTGCATCCAGGTGGGTCTGGAAAGCCTCCAGAGAAGGAGACTCCACAGCCTCCCTGGGCAGCCTGTTCCAGGGCTCTGTCACCCTCACTGCAAAGAACTTTTCCCTCCCATTTCCATGTCACTCCCCATGTTCCAGCCTGTGCCCGTTGCCCCTCGCCCTGTCCCTGGGCACTGCTGGGCACAGTCTGGCTCCATCCTCCTGCACCCACCCTGAGACACTTGGAGGCATTAAGAAGGTCTCCCCTCAGCCTTCTCCTCTCCAGGCTGAACAGCCCCAGCTCTCCCAGCCTTTCCTCATCAGGGAGATGCTCCAACCCCCCACTCACCTTTGTTGTCCTCCCTGGACTCTCTCCAGCAGTTCCTGTCTCTCTTGAACTGGGGAGCCCAGAACTGGTCCCAGTTCTCCAGATGGGGCCTCACCAGGGCAGAGCAGAGGGGGACAATGACCTCTCTCCACCTCCTGGCCACACTCTTCCTCATGCACCCCAGGATCCCATGGGCCTCCTTGGCCACCAGGGCACATTCCTGGCTCATGGATCATTTACCATCTACCAGGACTCCCAGATCCTTCTCCCCAGAGCTGCTCTCCAGCAGCTCACATCAGAGCTGAAGTCCTAAAAGACACTGAAAATGCAGCCTCTTCAAATCTTCTACCCTCACCTCTCTAGAAGCTTCAGATGACATAGGAGTTGTCTCCTTCCCACATCTCAGAGCCTGTTTAGCTGTGGTACAAATACATGGGGATGTTCATCACCCATAAGTAGAGATGCTGGACAAGATATGGAGCATGGTAGGAATGGCTGAACTAGTAAGAGAATGCAAAGGTTCTACAGAGCTCAGTATCCTGATGGGCTCTGCTGCTGTCATGGGCATGATATCAATTTAAAGATCATGATACCACCCAGAGCCTCCCAAATGGTATTCACCAGTAACTACAGCAATCCCCTCTAAAGAGAGAACCAGAAATCTGATAGCAATACCTAGTAAATTTGTTTAAAAACCATATTTATCGCTCAAGTTCTCTTTTCCTGTACCTGGAACAAGTTTCTTTCAGCCACTTTTCCCCCTCAACCACCCTCTTGAAGCAAAGCTCTCAGAATTCCCTTTCTGTGTATGTGAATGATGGTGTTTAAGTGAAACCAGTGCCATGAATGCCAATGTTTTATGCTGCAGTGACACGTGCACCATAAGGCTGTCGAGGTAACAGATGAGACAACTGCATGAGCTTGGGAAATGGTTTTAGATCTTGGAGGTTGTTGCAGCATGAACCTTCATTTCAGCCCAGCTGGTGTCTCAGAAGCTCAACTCACCTGCTCTGGGGGGTAGGCAGGGGGAAGCTCTGGTTTTGGGTGGTGCTCCTGCCATCTGAGAGCAGAGAAGAATGTAGTGGTGGCTCCAGGAATGGTTGATGGAAGCTGTTGGGTGCAGCAGTGCCTGCCAGGTCCCTGAAATGATACAAAAAAGAAAGGAAGCTGCTTATTAAATGCATTTATATACTGGGGTAGCACAATCAGTGCTCTGGGAGTTCACAAGACCTGCTCAGTTGAAGGGGAGTGTTCTCTCCAGTGGGACAGAAGCAGCAATAAGCAGTTGGGGCAGCTAGTTGAGATAGATTTTTTTATGAAACACACCCAAAATGGGGTGAGATGAATCCTAACCCTTGTGACTAACTCACAAGGTGAGAAGTTTCATCTTCACTGCCATGCATGACACCTAAAAAAAAGGCAGTATTGACACCACTTCACTTATAGACCTGAAACAAAGAGCTAAAACCTCAGAGCTGCAGCACTGAAAACTGCCAAACAGGAGAGGCCCTTCAAGGGTGGCCTGCAAGAAAACTGGGCAGGGACTTTTTACAAGGACATGTAGTGAGAGGACAAGGGGAAATGGCTTTAATCTGCCAGAAGGAAGATTTAGGTGAGACATTAGGAGGAAATTCTTCTCTGTGAAGGTGGTGAGATGCTGGAACAGGTTGCTCAGGGAAGCTGTGGCTGCCCCATCCCTGGCAGTGTTGAAGGGCAGGTTGGATGGGGCTTGGAGCAGCCTGGAATGGTGGGAGGTGTCCCTGCTCATACAGGGGGGTTGGATCTGGATGATCTTTGAGGTCCCTTCCAACCCAAACCATTCTGTGGTTCTATGATTCATGAAATGCTGAACTGAAAAGTGTAACTCTTGGAAGATTCCACACATCTACCCCCTGTACCAGAGCCTTCCCACTGGCAAACCTCAACTGAACTCTCAAGAAATTTGATCTAGATGACCTTTAAGGTCCCCTCCGACCCAAACCATTCTATGATTATTTTGAAGGGCAAGGAGCTTTTGTGTCTGTGCCATTTTCTAGTTTCCCTAGGAAGCCTGTCAGAAACATTTTTAACTGCAGTGGCAACTGCTGGATTCCTGCTCCAGAGAGAAGCTGTAACTTTAAGGAGGTTTAATAACTTCTGAAGACTCATTGCTACAGTTTGGGGGAAAAAAAACCCCAAACTGTTTAGTTCTTCATTGAGCTCTCAATCATACCCACAGGCCAGTGAGGCAACAAGGACACCACTGCTGCTTTCCCACAGGGAACAGAGAAGCTGGAATCTCAAACTGACTTTTTGTGCCTCCTCATCTTGCCAAAGCAGGACTGTTCCCTCCTGTGGGTCTTCTGGTGCTTGAGGGATGAGGCTTCTCCCTCTTCTCCTCAGAAATCAGTCCCTAGCCCAAGATGCTGTGCAGTGCAAGCAAGGTTTTACTACTTTTCATCTTTAATTTTCCCTTTCTTCAGTTTTTTCTTCTTATTAATACCTATAAATTAAGCTTCCCTAGTGCAAGGCCACCAGCTGTTACTGTTTCACTGTCAAGCAACCACTGGCTGGTCACAGTGTTTGTTCCTTATCAGCTCAGATCAAAACCTGAACCCATTACATAGGAGAAAGGATCTGATTTCATTAATGGCTCCCAGAGCTCAGTGTGCTCAGAAAGCATTGCTTGTAAAGCCACAGCATGGAAATAAAAAAACATTTTAAAAAAATAATAAAAGAATAAAAGAAAAATCCCTGAGCAAAGAATTCAGTTCAATACATAGCACAGAAATCCAGTGTCTGGCAGCAGAGGTTAAAAGGAGACAAAGCAGAAATCTGAAGACATGATTCAAGGCCACCCCTCCAGGGACTGGGGCACCACAGGGAAATAAACTTCCCAGAGCAGAGGTTTGGATTTAGAACCTGGAACCCCCTCTCAGAAGCTACATCTCAGTTGAGAAAGGAAATTAAAACACCAAGCCTGACATCTAAGAAAAATATGCATATTGAAAGGTGTTAGAGGGACGTGTTTTCACCTTTGATCTCTGCACTAAATGTCATTTACACATTGCCTCTCAAGTCTGGTACTCTCATTTTAGGTGTTTAAGGTCAGGGTGTAGTTCAAACTGTACCAGGATGCCTCAGCTCAGGAATTTAAAAAAAGGAAACAGCCTGGAGAAGTTGAACAGCACATGTGAAAAGACAAACCCACGTAGTTCAGAACAATGTCCTGGAGAGGTCATTAAGAGGGGCATAAAAAAAAGAACTGAAAAGCAAAATGACATTGAAGCCAGAGGTTGACTAGACAAGAGGGTCTGCAAGACATGGATATAAACACACGTAGGCAAATCTTCTGCTCCCAGCAAGAAAATCCATCCTGAAGAGTGTGTCTCCACCACCAGTAGACCCTGGATCTTCTCTCTTGGCAGTTCTAGCAAGGAGGTCCAGTGAAACTCTGAGTGTTTGCATTTCTCCCTGCTCAGAAAAGCAAGACTGCAGGTTCTAAATTCTCCCCTCAGTGATGGCTGCTCTTGCTCACTCCAGCAACATTTAGACAGAATCAACAAGTTAATCATTAGCTAAAGGCCTGATCTGAATGAGACTTCAACCCAGCCCCTTCTTTATTACCGTCAAACACTCAGACAACTGGTGAAATGATTCAGAACAAACCACTGAACGTTGCCCCTACATAATATTCAGCAATCAGACACCCAAATGACTTGAATTACACCTGCACAGCTACAGGCAAAAAAACCCCAAAGAGGCCAGCTTTTCAGCAATTTGGATTTAAGAACCTAAATTTATGAAGATAACCCTGGGGGGGAGTTGCAATAAATAAAATAGGTTAGATTCTTGTGTGACACCACTTTGAAAATCTTCTGACACCTACTCAGGAAAACTAAGGGGTATCTTTCAGTTTAGATTAAATCCTGTAACATTGAGATGAAGCATTGAAGAACCTTTACCTATTTACAGATCCAAAAGAAATTCAAAATGTTTAGTGCCTTAGGAACTTTTTGGCATAAATATGATTTCTGGCATCATGCATTTCATAGAATTTAGGTTCACTCCTCATTGCAGTAGTTAGCAGAGCAGCTCAAAACCAGCAGAGCTAGCTCTGTCCTCTGCCCTTTCTGGGCCCCAGACACTTCTTTGCACTCCCAATCCTCTCCCAGCACAAGTGGTTCTTCGAAAAGGTGTGTAGGAGCCAGCACTGCCAGTGCCAAAAACACTCAGGTGACTGAATTCTTCCTCATTGTGTGACAAAAAGTGTCTGGACACATTAAAGAGGCTTTTCAACCCCAGAAATGAGGATCCATACCCTCAAATCAAACAGGTCTTTACTGGAGCTCCTCATGTCATTTACACCATTCAAATTTACTCCAACAGCTAAACAATAAATCTCCAATTCAAGCAACACATTGTAGAAACTTCCAGCTAATCTTATTGGTATTTCTATGTGCTAAGAATACACATAGTTAATTATCTGCCTATTACACAAGCAACTGTCTTTAAGTTATAATAAATTACTTTTTAAAGTGCTTGTTTTGCTTCAGGTTACTTGCAGTGCCAGCAGTGGAATGAAGTGTCATTCCATCCCAGCTCCAACTAATGTGCTAAGCATGGACCTTCTTCTTGTCTATCCCAATGCAATTTGAAATGATTCTGCTTTTCTGAACCTCCCTCCCTCTCTCTGCCCCACTTTGCTCCAAGATGGCATCTCCCCAGGGGGAGAACAGACAGAACAAAATGGGTGCTGGCTTCCCAGAATCACAGAATCACCAGGGCTGGAAGGGACCTCTGGAGATCATCCAGTCCAACCCCACCTAAAGCAGGATCCCCTGGAGCTCATCACCCAGGTGGGTTTGGAAAGTCTCCAGAGAAGGGGACTCCACAGCCTCCCTGGGCAGCCTGTCCCAGGGCTCTGTCACCCTCACTGTAAAGAAGTTTTCCCTCCCATTTCCATGTCACTCCCCATGTTCCAGCCTGTGCCCGTTGCCCCTCGCCCTGTCCCTGGGCACTGCTGGGCACAGTCTGGCTCCATCCTCCTGCACCCACCCTGAGACACTTGGAGGCATTAAGAAGGTCTCCCCTCAGCCTTCTCCTCTCCAGGCTGAACAGCCCCAGCTCTCCCAGCCTTTCCTCATCAGGGAGATGCTCCAACCCCCCAGTCACTTTTGTTGCCCTCCCCTGGACTCTCTCCAGCAGTTCCTGTCTCTCTTGAACTGGGCAGCCCAGAACTGGTCCCAGTTCTCCAGATGGGGCCTCACCAGGGCAGAGCAGAGGGGGACAATGACCTCTCTCCACCTCCTGGCCACACTCTTCCTCATGCACCCCAGGATCCCATGGGCCTCCTTGGCCACCAGGGCACATTCCTGGCTCATGGATCATTTACCATCTACCAGGACTCCCAGATCCTTCTCCTCAGAGCTGCTCTCCAGCAGGTCCAACCCTCACCTCTACTGGTACATGGGGTTCTTCCTCCCCAGGTGCAGGACCCTGCACTTGCCCTCGTTGAACCTCATCAGGTTCCTCTCTGCCCAGCTCTCCAGCCTGTCCAGGTCACCCTGGATGGCAGCACAGCCCTCTGGAGTGTCACCACCCCTCCCAGTTTGGGATCATCAGGGAACTTGCAGAGGACACACCCTGTACCCTTGTCCAGATCACTGATGAATATGGTGAACAAGACTGGACCCAGTACTTCTCACAGATACAGGCACACACCTTCAGTCAATTCTAACTCCACTGTTAGGGCAAAAATGAGGCTCTGCTTTGGAATAACTGAAGCAGGGGTGCATATTCTTTTCTCTCAGCTCCTCTAGAGCAGCAGTTTTCCCCAGTTACTCCCTCAAAGCTCATCAGCTGAAAGCCTGTGTGAGGCTGGATGTGTTGCCAGTGAAAGAAATCAGATTTTTGCACAAAGGGCAGACTGATCAAGTGGACAAATACATGTATACACTGCTGCTAGCAATAAAAATAAAGGCAAGGTTTATCATGTTCAGAACAAAGCTGATAAGATTAAAGCATCAATAGGCAGGAAGAGTTTTTTTTATAAAGCATTTTAAACAAGCATAGAATCATAGAATGGTTAGAGTTAGAAGGAACCTTAAAGATCATCCAGTTCCAACCCCCCTGCATGGGCAGGGACACCTCCCACCAGCCCAGGCTGCTCCAAGCCCCATCCAACCTGCCCTTCAACACTGCCAGGGATGGGGCAGCCACAGCTTCTCTGGGCAACCTGGGCCAGGGTCTCACTCTCCTTGTCTTGCCCTATTTATGTTGTCAAAGAAGAAGAGAAATAAAAACTTCCATATAAAATACAGTCTGAAAGACAATAATGGCTGCACGAAAAGACTGGTGCAATTTTGGAGCAACATGTGCAGAGACAATGAATTGTGGTGCCTCAGACAAAGGCCACAGTGTCTTCTTTGCCAGCACTTGCAGGGACACTTGAAATACTGTGGGCTGATCCATTTTGAGAGCTAATTAATATATTAGAGAGACTTTCTAGTAACCCTACTGGATTTACTAAGCATAGACTTACAGAGGAAGATGAAAAGACATGACAACATCTCTAGTTTAAGTAAGAACCAGAGAACAGTATAAACAAGGTCAGTCTAACTACCCCAAAAGCATCTGGATGCTGCTGCTCAAATTACTATGAATAACAAGACAATCACCTTGTCTCATCTCAGCTGCACAATCTGTGGATAAATTCCTTGCTTAAGCCCCTGACAAAAGCTAAAGAAAGCCCCATCACCTTTCATTTCCTGAGTGTCCACAAAGAAGTTTACCACAGCTAAGATGACCTGCAAGAACCTTTTAAGCTACTCATGATCCAGATCAATAGTTCTCTCCTGACAGCAAGACCCATCAAACCCCAGGTGAGCTTTTCCAAGGTGAAAACCTCTTTCTTACGGGTATTTCAAACTTGATTCTGTATAAACAACAGAAAAAACAAACACTTGCAGCTGGACTGGGCTACAGGACCTAGAAGGTTCTTCCCTTTCTCATTGCTACATTTCAGGATTCAAGTTTTCTGTCAGAATTCCACTATTTTTAGAGCATTCTGATTTATGGCACCTCTTGATTGAACCTCTTGGATGGAATGGGGTGTTGTCTCCTCTTGCTGAGTGCACCCATCCCTTGGGGCCTGGAAACTGCAAATGCTGACTGGGGGTGACAGGATTTTCTCTCAGCTGCCTGACAGCTCAGCCAAAGCAGCCTGATCCTGAAGTCCAAAAAGCAGCTTCCAGCAAAGGAGGTTTGAGGAATGAAGGGAGCAAAGAGCTACAGACTGAGGTGGGCTCAGATGAACAGTTCACACTGCAACACTAAATCAAACCTGGAACATCTAGCAAATGGAAACACTAATTTCCATTTTTCTTCTGGTTTCAAAATAACTTAAAACAAATGAATCAGCTACTTAAAAAACTTCTCTCTAAATAAAGATTTGGAAACTCATCTCTCCCTGTAACCTTGGTTTTCTAGAGACAGTTGAATTCAGTAGGAGTATTTTTTTTCCTTCTCTTATTTTTTCAGTAGTCAATTCCAGACTTTGTCATTGGAATGATTTTCAGCAACACCTCTGGTAGGTACCATTGGTGACTGCATTTGTACAGGCCTGAGATGAACTGCAAGGTGTGAACTTTTCTATTCCTTCTGCTCTTTGCTGATTTGCAGGCCTATGTGCTACTTTCAATGTCAACACCCTGAGCCTTTTCATGGCAAGAAGGAAAACCAAGCAAAGAAGAACTTAGATGAGGAAGATTTCCACTAGAGGAAGGCAGCAGTGCCACAAAAGATCAATCAAAGAAGGTACATTGAGATTTTTAGACTTCTAACAACTTATTTTTTTGCAGAGCTGTAACTATAAAGAAGTAGAAGGAAGATTAAACAGAAATAATAATAATTAAACAAACAAACAAAGATTAGAAAGGCTGAGAGACCTGGGGTTTCAATCTAGAGAGGAGAAGACTAAGAGGGGATCTAATTAATATCTATCAATACGAGGCATCAAGAAGGCAGGACAAGCTCTTGTCACTTGTGCCCTGGGACAGGATGAGGGGCAATGGATTCAAACTGGAGCTCAGGAAGTTCCAGCTCAACATGAGGAAGAACTTCTTTGGTGTGAGGGTGACAGAGCCCTGGAACAGGCTGCCCAGAGAGGTTGTGGAGTCTCCTTCTCTGGAGACTTCCCAGACTTGTCTGGGTGCCTTTCTGAGTGACCTGCCCTAGTTTTGTTCCTGCTCTGGCAGGCGGCTTGGACTGGATGGTCTTCAGAGGTCCCTTCCAGCCCCTAATCTAATATTCTGTGAAAGTGGAATCAGCTTTCAGAAATTGTACTTTAAATAGAAATATCCACAGAAGATGGACTGCCACAAACAACCTGGTCCTGAGCAAGGATGTGACTTTCCAACACTCATTACTAGCAGTGCTAAAAAACATACCAGAGTCTGTGAGCCATGAGAAAAAGGACCCTTTTCTGCCCCCTCAGAGAGGCAACATATCATAATTTCCTCATTTTAGACAAAATTACTTGTGGATGGCTCTGCCTCAAACATTTTTGGTATATTTGGGGCCTGCTGCACTCCCAAGTCAAAAGGCAGGTGGTGGGTGAGCTATTTCTAGGGCTAGATTTAAGAGTGATAGCAACAAGGGTTGTCCAGGAGCTTTGCAATCCCTGACACGGTTTCTAATCGTTCATCCTGTGGAGGAGAAAACTTCACCAGGCATTTTTCTCTTTATTGCAAAGGACTTGGCTGGAATCCCTCTATGTTACCTTTGAAAGAGCTGGACATAAGCACCAAGGGCCTTCTCTGACAGAGCCTGACGTGCTGCCTGGTGACGTCTCTGGAGAGAAGCTTCTTCCTGAGAAAGAAATATGACCAACATCTTTAGCAGCTTAAAAGTGTGGCAGGTAAGTTCACTGGCTGTGATGTTCCTATAGATGGTTGGCATTTGTATCTTCTGGGAAAAGAGCAGAGCTAAATTCTAGCTGAAACAGTGCTAAATATGATTCACCAATCTACACAAACCACACTGTGCTCTGAAGTCTTTCTAGCTTTGAACAATGAAGAGGTCATCTCCAGTGAAGCTCCATTTCTTCATAGTGGTGAAAAATGTGCCAGGATGGAGCCAGGAAGGAATATCTGCAGAGAACCACTGTTCATAGTATCATATCAGAATGGGTTGTGTTGGAAGGGACCAAAAGATCATCCAGTTCCAACCCCCTGCATGGGCAGGGACACCTCCCACCAGCCCAGGCTGCTCCAAGCCCCATCCAACCTGCCCTTCAACACTGCCAGGGATGGGGCAGCCACAGTTTCCCTGGGCAACCTGGGCCAGGCTCTCACCACCCTCACAGCCCAGAATTTCTCCCTCACATCTCAGCTCCAGCTCCCCTCCTCCAGCTGGAAGCCCTTCCCCCTGCTCCCATCCCTCCCTGCCCTTGTCCCAAGCCCCTCCCTAGCTTTCCTGGAGCCCCTTCAGGCACTGGAAGCTGCTCTAAGGTCTCCCTGGAGCCTTCTCTTCTCCAGGCTCAACACCCCAACTCTCCCAGCCTGTCTCCAGAGCAGAGCTGCTCCAGCCCTCCCAGCATCTCTGGGGCCTCTTCTGAACTCTCTCCAACAGCTCCGTGTCCTTATTTCTCCAGACCTGGACAGAGTTCTCCAGGTGGGGTCTCAGCAGAGCAGAGGGGACAATCCCCTCCCTGTCCCTCCTGGCCATGCTTCTTTTGATGCAGCCCAGGACAGGGTTGGTTTCTGGGCTCCAGCATATGCTGCCAGCTCATGTTGAGCTTCTCATCCACCATCACCCCCATGTCCTTCTCCTCAGGGCTGTTTTCAACCCATTCTCCACCCAACCTTTATTTGTGCTTGGGATTGCCCTGACCCAGGTGCAGAACCTTGCACTTGACCTTGTTGAACTTCAAGGAGTTTTCACAAGCCCACCTCTCCCAACCTCCCAACATGTTAGAGAAGGAATATTTCCAGCTGAGTCTGAGGCTTCTTTGCACCAGCAAGTGGCTGAATAGAGAAGAATTTGCCTCACAAACACTCTGTCCTTGTCTCCATGCTCCAGCAAGGCAGTAAACCTGCCTCACCAACACTAGACCAACCCAGATTCCCACCCTCAGAGTAGGAATTACCTTTTGTGAATTTAAGGCAGTGAAAATGACTTTGTTCAATGAGCACAGTATAATCTCAGCAGACTGGAAAATGTCATCCTGAGTTTTAAGGGCATGTTAATGACCATGTGCTGTAGGACACTGTCACTTCTCAGGTCAGACAAAAGCACCACTCCAGTGTGCTTAAAAAAATAAACTGTAAATCACAGAGCAAAGTTATTCAATCCTACTTTGTTACCAAATTATATCCATCAGTAGTTACCAATTTAATAGCTAAATCACATGTCTGTGACAGAAGTGTTTTTTCACAGTATGAGCAATGAAAGGGAATATAGTTCATCTGCTGAACACTCACATTATGATGATGACTTGATGATCTCCAAGATCCAAGCAGGATGATTCTGTGATTATGACTCCTGCGAATTCCTCCCCTTTCCTTCCCTGCTCCTGCTCAGGAAGGCTCTGCTCAGATGCTCACTGAGGTTATGGGGTCTATTTGACATTCTTTTGGTAAATTGTAAATTTTTTGAGGTTCAACAAGCCCAAGGGCAGGGTCCTGCACTTTGGCCACAATCACCCCCTGCAGCACCACAGGCTGTGGGAAGAGTGGCTGGAGAGCTGCCAGCTGAGAGGGAACTGGGAGCACTGGGTGACAACTGGTTGGACAGGAGGCAGCAGTGTGCCCAGGTGGGGCATCCCAATGGCATCCTGGCTTGTGTCAGGAATGGGGTGGCCAGCAGGAGCAGGGAGGTGATTGTCCCCCTGTGCTCAGCCCTGGGGAGGCCTCAGCTCCAGCCCTGTGTCCAGCTCTGGGCCCCTCACTGCAAGAAGGAGCTGGAGGTGCTGGAGCAGGTCCAGGGGAGACAACGAGGATGGGGAAGGGGCTGGAGGGAAAGGCTGATGAGGAGAGACTGAGGGAGCTGGGCTTGTTCAGCCTGGAGGAGACTCAGGGGGGACCTTCTCACTCTCTACAACCACCTGAAGGGAGGTTGGAGGCAGGTGGGGTCGGGCTCTTTTTCCAGGCAACCAGGGACAGGACAAGAGGGCCTGGCCTGAAGCTGCTCCAGGGGAGGCTTAGGTTGGATATCAGGAAGCACTTCCTCATGGAAAGGCTGCTCAGACCTTGGGATGGGCTGCCCAGGGAAGTGGTGGAGGCACCATCCCTGGAGGTGTTCAAGGACAGGCTAGATGTGGCACTTGGTGCCCTGGTCTGGCTGATGTGGTGGTGTCAGGTCATAGGCTGGACCTGATGATCTCATAGGTCTGTTCTAGCCTCAATAATTCTATGATTCTGTGAATATATAATTCTGATCCTTTTTTTTCTGTCTGGACTACAGATATAGATCCATTTCTGTTCATCCCTCATAGAGTTAATTACAGCCACAGAAAATCAGTGCAGGGCTGGCAGGCTCACAAGGGATGAGGCTGCAAGGAATCAGATCTCCTGCCTTTCCCTGAGCAGCAGCTCCTGCTTCTTATTTTGCTTGAGGATAATTCACATTAATTTCTTCACATTTTTCATTTTCCAGCTCTACACATGGCAGTGGAATGTGGTTACTGCAGTGACAGCACATTATCTGGGTGCCAAAAGCACAAAAATCATTTTCAGCCCCAAATATCACAGTTTAGACAACATTTTACTTTAAGGCCACGGGCTCTTTTTCCAGGCAACCAGGGACAGGACAAGAGGGCCTGGCCTGAAGCTGCTCCAGGGGAGGCTTAGGTTGGATATCAGGAAGCACTTCCTCATGGAAAGGGTGCTCAGACCTTGGGATGGGCTGCCCAGGGAAGTGGTGGAGGCACCATCCCTGGAGGTGTTCAAGGACAGGCTAGATGTGGCACTTGGTGCCCTGGTCTGGCTGATGTGGTGGTGTCAGGTCATAGGCTGGACCTGATGATCTCATAGGTCTGTTCTAGCCTCAATAATTCTATGATTCTGTGAATATATAATTCTGATCCTTTTTTTTCTGTCTGGACTACAGATATAGATCCATTTCTGTTCATCCCTCATAGAGTTAATTACAGCCACAGAAAATCAGTGCAGGGCTGGCAGGCTCACAAGGGATGAGGCTGCAAGGAATCAGATCTCCTGCCTTTCCCTGAGCAGCAGCTCCTGCTTCTTATTTTGCTTGAGGATAATTCACATTAATTTCTTCACATTTTTCATTTTCCAGCTCTACACATGGCAGTGGAATGTGGTTACTGCAGTGACAGCACATTATCTGGGTGCCAAAAGCACAAAAATCATTTTCAGCCCCAAATATCACAGTTTAGACAACATTTTACTTTAAGGCCACAGACATATTTATATTTTTCTCATTAAATATGGTCTAAGAGGCACTTGTGTTTCACCTTGAGCATTTTGCTACGTTGACACTTCAGCTGATGCTGTAAAGTTTCCTCTGCATGTAAAAATATATTGGAAATTTAGAGCAGTAAATTACAAAAAGGTATTACCAGCACTGAACAAGGAGACTAATAAGAAAGGGCCTTGTGGCCACTAAGTAAGTTAAACCCAAGGTAAATTATTGCCTCCTTCATCATAAACCACTTCTCCCTGACTTGACAAAATGGGAACTTTCAAAATCAAAAATCAACAAGATGGAATAAAAAGTGAGCAAAATAAATTGCTGGGCAAAGTGCCACCAAGGTAAGGAATATTCCAGCTTCTCTCTCACGTTAAACAAACAAACCTTGGGCTGAAGGGAACATGAAAATAAACAACACTTGACATGTTTGTTGTTTTTTTTTTAATCTGCATGGCTTGAAAAGAGGTATTTCATTTCAGAAGGTGGGAGGCTTCCTGGTTATGTCAGCCATTCTACTCTGTAATCTTTCTCCCCACCTAAGAGAGGTTTGGAGAGGTTGGAGAGCTGGGCAAAGAGGAACCTAGTGAGGTTCAACAAGAGTAAGTCAAGAGTCCTGCACCTGGGGAGGAATAACACCAGGCACCACTTCAGGTTAGGAGATGACCTGCTAGAAAGCAGCTCTGTGGAGAAGGATCTTGGAGTCCTGGTGGACAGCAGGTTCTCCATGGGGCAGCAATGTGCCCTTGTGGCCAGGAGGGCCAATATTGTCCTGGGGTGCATTAAGAAGAGTGTGGGCAGCAGGTCAAGGGAGGTTCTCCTCCCCCTCTACTCTGCTCTGGTGAGACCCCACCTGGAGTATTGTGTCCAGTTTTGGGCTCCCCAGTTCAAAAGGTACAGGGATTTACTTGAGAGGGTCCAGCAGAGGCTACAAGGATGATGAAGGGACTGGAGCACCTGCCTGATGAGGAAAGGCTGAGAGACCTGGGGCTGTTCAGTCTGGAGAAGAGAAGACTGAGAGGGACCCTTATTAATGTAAATCAATATCTGCAGGGTGGGTGTCAGGAAGGAGGAGCCAGTCTCTTTTCAGTGGTGCCCTGTGACAGGACCAGGGGCAATGGATACAAACTGGAACAGGGGGAAGTTCCACCTCAACATGAGAGCCCCTTGTAAAGCCTGGAAAACAGAGGTGGGGGGGGTCTGCTACTTTGCTCCACCTACAGCACTAATTCTAAACATCAGAGGTGGTTATAAGCACAGAGCTGGGGACAGAATTGTACAGCAAGTCATGCCTGCCAAGCCATCAGTCATCATCAGGACATCATCACCTTGGAGTGGAACAAAACTTCAAGCTTTCATTTTTCCTCTCCTCCTTCTCGTCGTATAAAAACCAGCTCTGGAAACATCTGTTCCAGCTCCCCCAGTGCCTGTGAGGAGCTGGGATGCCTTTAGGGAAAGGACTGGTAAGGAGTGAAAAAAGAAAGAGGGATGAAGCTGAGGTTGCAAAAGGTTCTTTGAAACCCAAGCACATTGTAGAACCTGTTGATTGAAAAAAAGTAAAGGCGGGTGGAAAAAATGTGCTTCAATTTGCTCCCTGGCAGCTCCTCCTGGCAGGGATGAGGGAGCCCAGGGAAAGGCCCAGCTGGACATGTTCTTCCAGTGCCACAGGATGGTGTTCCCAAAGAACCTTCATCACCCTCTTAACTGCATCTGCCTCTTTTCCTCTGAATAGGGCAGCTTCATATCTTGTTGGAGAACTGAGAAGTACCACTCAGCTGCCTCACACCAGTACCAACTGGATGAAATCAGTT